GTGTGATGCACATACAAAAAGGTGCATATCACAAAGGTTTGCATGTTCACAATGTGAGAGAAAATGTATGCAGCCCCCCAGAAGTTCTGCACCATGACCCTTCCTTCCCCCCAAAACATGATGCCCCTAACTTCTAATGCCGGACATTTACTTTGCTTGTTTTTTTTGAACTTTGTATAAATGGACTCAAAATATGCGCCCTCTTGGTTCTTGGCTTATCATATGAAACACTGTGCTTGTGAGATTTAACCACGCTGCTCTGTGAAGCGCTGGTTAATTGTTTCTCATTTGCTGCCCGGGCATTCCACCCTGGCTGTGTGGTTACTTATTCATCCATTCTCCTACTGATGGACAAGTGGGTTGTTTCTGATTTGGAGCTCTTAGATGAACAAGTCGTTATGGACATTCTTGGACAGTTCCTTCTGTTAAGTATTTACCGAGGAGTACTATTGTTCAGCCTTAGTGGATGCGGCCAGTTTTTTTTTTAAGGTGGTTGTGGAAATTGACATGCTGCTTCTAAAATTTATGTAGAAATTCAAAAGGCCAAAGAATATCCAAGATAATCTTGAAGAACAAAGCTGGAGGTCTTACACTGCTACATACGATAAAACTACAGGAATTAAGACAAGGTGTTTTGGGCACATATAGGCCTATGGCTTGGAGGAGAGAATTCAGAAATAGGTTCACAAATAGATGTTATCTGAGTTATGATACAGGTGACATTGCAGTGTAGAGGGGAAAGAGTGATGTTTTCAATAAATGGTGCTGGATCAATTGGATAAACATGGAAAAAAATGTTTTTTGAAATTTAGTCAATTTACAATGTTGTGTTAGTCTCTGGTATACAGCATGGTGATTCAGTGTTTTATATTATATATATATATAATATATACTATATATATATTATATTCTTTTTCACTATAGGAAAAAAACCTTTTTAACCACACATTAAAATCAATTTCAGATGGCTTATAGATCTAAATGTTAAAAAGCGAATAAAGCTTTGTAAAAATATATATATTTGTAGTTCACTAAAATATGAATATGACTTGAAGCAGGCAAAATTCTTACAAATAGGACATAAAAATCACTAATCATAAAGGGAAAAAAATGGATAAATTGGACTACTTTAAAAATAGGAATGGTTCCTCAAAAGACACCATTAGGAAATGAAAACATGGAGCCTTGATTGAAAAAAGGTATTAGCAAAAATATATCCAGCAAATGACTTGTAAACAGAGTGTATACAGACTCCTACACTTCAATGACAAAAAGATGACTGAAGGAAAATAAATGCACAGAAGGAGAAACTTGACTGGGCACTTCACACATACACACACACACACACACACACACACACACAATGTCCAAATAGCCAATAAACATATGAAAAGGTGCCCAAGGGAAATGCAGATTAAAACTACCATGAGACACCTCTGAACTCTTGTGGTAACGACTAACGTGGAAAGTCAGGTGATGCCCAGTGTTGCAGACTCTGTGACGTGGCTCTGCTACACTGCCAGGGGTGGTAAATATTGGTCCAGCCACTGAATTTTTAACAGGATTTGCCCTAATTTTTCTGTCTCCCCAGCTCCCAGGGGAGTGGGCTGGAGTGGGAGGGTGCTGGCTGCAAAGCACATACAGACCTCTATTTATTCTTTTCCTTCATTCTGTCCCTTCACCCAGACATCACACACTCCCTGAGCTATTTTCCGCTTGACCCTTTGCTGCAGCCTGTGCACACCATCCTTTCTGACCCGGGTAAGTCTCCCTCATGAGCTCCTGGAGAAACAGGCACATACTGCAAACAACATGTAATTCTCATCCAAAGATCCAAAGCTTTCTGACGCCTCTTAAATATGTCCCCAAGATGAATTCCAAAAACTCAACGTTATGCTCACTTTTATTTCTCTACAGGTTCAAGTTGCAAAATTGTCCCCCAGAAAGTTTGGATCAACATACACTCCCACTCCAGACGTACACACATGCCCCATTTGTCAATGTGATTGGTGAAAAATACTGTCTTGTTTCACTAATCTCTTTGATCAGTAATAAAGCTAAACTTGAAAAAATCTGTTTATTGGTCATTTTTATTTCTTCTTTTGTCCATGCTGTAATTAAATTTTTCTTACAATTGTGAAAGAAGTTTCTATGGAGCAAGGGTACTAACTTTTCAATTGTTACAAACATTGCAGCTATTTCCCACAATATTTGGTGTTTCTCCTTTAATTTTATTTGTGGGGTTTCTCCCCTACATAAATAAATTTTAAATGTTTATACAGTAAAATCTGCCCGTCTGTTAGAACTTCTGTATTCTTACAAAATACTTAGGAAAGCTCTTGCCATTTCAAAATGATAAAAATGGTTATATATTTTTCTAAATACGGTTACATTTGTTATCTTTATTTACATCGCTTGGAGTTTATTTTGCATAAGTTATTAAGGTAGGGTTTCAGTCGTGCATGCGCGGGTAGGTCTGTGTGTGTGTAAATATGTTTTCCTGAACCATGGCTAGTAGTCCGGCACCATTCATTGAAGAATGTATACTTGCCCTACTCCTTTGTCTGTTTTGGGATGATATGGTTGAATAGTGAGATTTGCTATCAGAAGGATCTCCCTGGCCGTCCAGGTGGCAGATTGACTCCGAGAGGCCACCTGGATCTGTAAGATGCTCGGCTGCAGCAACAGTGCAGGAGAGCAGGTGAAAGCCGGAATGACAACAGGCAGCAGGGGAGGCGAGGAGGGAAGACTGACAGCTCTCATCGCCTCCCTCTGTTCCCCTATAATCACCTCATCTAAATGTCTTTCCCTGTCTGTAAGCTCATCAACTGTCAGGGGAGGGAATAATTCATCCCAGTAGTTAATCTTGGGGAACCTGGAAGTTTACTGCATTTAAAGCCTGACTTCACTGCTTACACCAGCCTCGTGATCTCAAGCAAGTGTCTTAATGTTTCTGGTCCTCAGTTTTCCCATCTGTGAAGTCGGGAGAATACCTATTGCAGAACCCATCATGGAGGATTTAAGGAGCTAAGTCACATGAGCTCTTACCCTGGTGCCTGGCACAGACTGAACTCACTTAGTTAATATTGTTATCAGTTGGTTTTTAAGGAAGATTGTGACCATCAATTTCGCCAGTGGAACAAAACTTCAGTCCTCCCTTTGGATGGGTGTGGAGGTCTGAGCCTGAGCAGAGCAGCTGGAGGAGAAGGTGGGACTGGCAAGGTGATGGGAAGGTTTCCGGGTCAAATGGTTGAAGGCGCTGGTCTAGAAAATGCTTTATTTGGGGAACCACTATTCTTTAAGGTACACTTATGCAATAAAGCCTAAGAATGAAGAATCACCACTAGTAAAATCAGTGAGCATATTAATTAATAGTGACAGGTGTTCCCGCCACCCCCACCCCACGTTTAAACACAACTATTTGTTTATGTAAAACCTTGGTCAGAAGTGGAGCCATAGGTGTCTTTCTTTCCTTCTCACATTTTTTTTGGAGAATGAGGTAACAGCTGTAGTTGAGTGACTCCACCATAGGCAAACCTTTAAAAATTATTTTATGTAATAGTCTGTAATATATCTGAGGTTGTTATTATCATCCCCAACGTCAAGCTGAGGAACGAGAGTTCCACAGAGTTGGTGAGACACAGAGGTAGATCCCAGCGCCGTTCAGGAGACAGGGGGGCCTTGCCAAGGCAGTCTGAGCCTTCCCCTCCCAGCGGTGGATGGATGTATCAAGGGCTGATGCCTTTAAAGAGCAAAGGCCCATAAGTGACCGTCTGCTTGGGTCCAGGCCCACCAGGTAACGTTCTGGTCATACCTGGCTTCCCACAGACAGGTCTTCTAGAGGGAGAGAATGCTGACAACCAGGGTATTGAACTTACGGTGAATACACTTCTAATTTTCTTTGTAAATCCATCTGTAATATTCTATGGTGTGCTCTGCTAAGCTGTAGTGTATACCAGTATGATAAAATACACATCCCCATCTCAGAACTTATATAATGTGACTCCAGCCCTGCGAGTTGGAACAGCCTTGGGTGGTGGGCTAATCCAGTGTCTAGACCTGCCAGGCCCCTGGCCATAGTGTCCTCCCCACGGCTGTGCCACTTCTGAGACCACCTGACAGCCAGTCAGCCGCCCTTCTCTCGGTACTACTCTGATCTCACCACCCTCAACCTTTGATCCAAAGCACTGAGCCTCACCAAGCCTCAGTTTACTCAACTGTAGAATGGGCACGTTACCTCCAACCTCCAAGGGTGGCTGTGGGAAGCAGATGAGATAAAGCGTTCTGACAGCCAGCAAGTCTCCTGGCTTCCCATCTTGCCCTTCCTTCCCTGACACAGACCCTCACCCTTCCTTTGTTGGCCCACTCCCAGCAGTGCCTCCCCAGACTCCCAGCTTTTGTCCCCGTGCCTGCCGGCACCGTGCAGATACGCTTCTCCAAACTCCTTTGGCTGCGTGGAGGAGCCCTCACTCCCTACCCCTGACCTGTAAACAGTGTTCATCCTTTACCCAGTGGGCTGTGCATCCTTGCCGCCACATGTCTCCCGCTGGTTAGAATGCCTTCCTCATCTCTGCCTGATGAGCTTCGAGGCATCTTTTGAGTCTTAGCGCTCCTGCCACCTCTCCTCTAATGCCTCCGCAGGCTCCTTCTGCCTGCTCAGCTCTCTCTCCTGCCCTCAGCACCCGATGCTTTCCTGTGTCATAGCGCTTGCTGCTACAGTGGTTTAACTGCTCTTTTTTTTTTCAAGTCCCACCTAAAGCATAAGCCCCTTGAGGACAAAGAGAGATCATCTTCTCCTATGCCATGTTTCATCAAATGCTGTCTGCCAACACATTTGTAGATGCACCATTATTTTATCTACCATTAAGAAAGAAAAAATAGGGCGTGGGAAGGGTAATAGCTCAGTGGTAGAGTGCATGCTTAGCATGCATGAGGCTCTGTGTTCCATCCCCAGTACCCCCATTTAAAAAAACAAAATTAAATTAAAAATACTTCTTAAAAATTAATTTAAAAAAAGAAAGAAAAATGGTGTCAATTACATTGGGACACCTTGCCTTCTTATTACTTGGAATTTCTATTTGATGCTTAGTGAAAGAATCCTTCTGAACTTACTTAGAAATAGTTTTAATACCATTTATTGCTTTCATGCATGTTACATACATTCATCTATGAAATCAGTTGGGTGAGGCATGAATACTTCCATCGTGACTAGCCTTGTAACAGCCATTGATTGTAACACCTATCCCAGTTCTAAAGATGTTAAAAAATGAGGGGGGAAAAGAGTCCTAAATTCAAGGAAATACAGATCATATGTTCTCTTAGACTAGTGTCTGGCACCCAGTATATGGTGTCTGGTCCACATGGTCCTTCAACGTTTGTAGGCTTGCTGTTGCTTTGTGACGTGCCCCGGGCCAAGCTAAAGCGAGAGTGACCGTTTCTGTATTGCCCTGGACCTCTCACATGTGTCCAAGGCTTCCGGAAGGACAGGCAGGCACCAAGGCTGTGCTGTAGGAAGTCACTCGGGGAGGAGCTGGCAGCCGGGGAACAACATTGGGACTTAGGAGGAGGTCTTGGTTTCTGGAGGATGAGAGGACCGCGAATGGGGTTTTGTTGGGCAGAGAGAAGATGGACATGAAGTCTTCAGATCCCCAGAAGTTAAGCAGAGTCAGGCTGAGACCATAGAAGTGTATTTTTACTTACGTGTAGACTTTTGGACCCCATGTCCAGGAACAGCAATGAACGCCAGGCTCTGCGCTGTCTCCAGCATCCTCACTCTCCCTCAGTGGTGGAGGCAAAGGGACTCAGTTTTTTTGGATGGTGAGAGACGGGGAAACAGGAAGTTAGAACTTAAGGAAAGTAATAACACGGTCAGGCCAGAAATGCCCCACGGTCTCCATGTGAGTGTCATTTGTTTGAATGAGTCAAACTGAATTTAATTTGGCTGATCTTGAATGTGCAACACATACGCACACACAGAATTTGTGTGAGGGGGGAAGAGAAAGGCCCCCGTTGCTTGGTGTCGTATTTTAAGCTTAGAGAAATTCGGGAGGCTATCCCCAAGCCTCTGACCCTTGGCTACCCTGAGCCTCGCTCTGTGCACAGAGGAGTCTGTCCAAACTCAAGTGGGTTTGGCCAGCCCAGAAACTTGACGTCACACAGAATAGGAGGGGCAGGAGGAGGGGGCTTGACTGTGTCCTGGGAAGACCCTTGGGTGCACTGGCGGGGCCGTCCCAGGCCTGCGTATGTAAAATGGGGCTCGTGAGACCTCCCCTGTGGGCAGGGGTGAGCGTTCACCATGCATCTAACAATCCACACCCCTGGCAGGGGAACTGCTGTGGATTCCTTGGGGGGGGGGGTTGCCCACAGTGCTTGGAGTTAACCCGTCAGTTGCTGGATCCTAGGGAGGACCAAGGGACAGTGTAGTGAAGGACACTCAGGACAGTTGCTATGTATTGACAGCACGGATAGAATATTGTAAAAGCAATTGGACTGTACCCATGTGCATCATATGAATGGCACCCTGCCTGTGGGCTCTCTGTGAAGGTGACAGGAGACCAGGAGATGAATAAGTGAGTGAGTGAATGAGTGTGTGGGCCCCGTGGCCTGAATTGTGAGTCAAGAATGCTCTCATCCAGGAAATACTTACTGCACCTCTACAATGTGCCAGTCTTCATGCCAGGTGCTGGGAATGAAAAGCTGATTCCGAAGGAACCCTTCTGGGAAGAGTCCTTCTTGGGTCAATAAGTGATGGGTGGGAAGGGCATCTCCTGTGGAGGGAACAGCATAAGCAAAGGCACAGAGGCAAAAACAAAAGAAAGTAAAAGCAAGCGAGCGAGCAACAAAAAGCAGCCACAGGCTGTCATTGTGGCGGGTGTAAAATCGGAGGCTGGAAGCAGCAAGAGATGGGGCTCAAGTAACAGGAGCACAAGTAACAGACAGTCTCATGAGGGTTGAGCACTGCTGTGTAGGAGAGTGAAGGATGTGCAGCAGGTCATTTTCACACTAAATAATCTTTCGGCAGCAGTGTGGGAAATGGTCTCCAAGGGCTAAAAGTGGAGGCAGGGAGGCCACTTTGGGAGCTCTTGCAATAATTCAGCTAAGTGATAATACAGCAAAATATAAATTGGTAGAATAAACTGAATATTAAGTTTGGGTTTTTTTTTTCTTTTAAGTGGAAGAGTGGAGAGAGAGAAATAGGGCCAAAACTAGATCAGCAAACCTAGGGCTGGAGAGAAAGTGACATATTACAGAAATATAGTCAATACTTCATAATAACTTTGTATGGAGTGTCATCAATAAAAATAACAAATTACTATGTTATACACCTAATGTGCTATTATAATATTATGTATCACATAATATACAGTATTGTAACAAATATAATGTCGTAAGTCAACTAAATTTCAATTTAAAAAAAGAAGAAGAAAGAAAAGAAATACTTGGGATTGGGAGTCAGGGGGACGATGTAGCCAAAGGGACCCAGAGGTGACAGTGTTACCAAGATCAGAACCGAGGAACAAGCAAGTTTGAGAGGAAGATACTGGGGACACTGGAGGAGCTCTAGAACATCCAAGTAGAGAGCGTGGATAAGAAGATTTGCCTCCTAGTCCCACAGGTTTCCGCCAAGGTTTGCTTTGGCTCACACTCTCCGAGTCCTGGGACAAGAAAGATAATTCTATGGATTTCAGTTACTTTACCATCATCTTTGTTTTAATGAGCTGAGATCTTGTAGTTTAAAAAGATGGCTAGGGATTCTGCCCAGAATGTCTTTTCCCCCTTTGTTATGGAAGTGTAGCCTACACACAGAAAAATGCACCAATCATACGTGTGCAGCTCAACAAGTGTGCCATTTGGGTTGTATTAAAGATCTTAAAAATACTCACAAGCGCGCGCACACACACAAATATGTAAACAGAAGCCAGCCTCCTCTCTAAGAATTTCAGATGGTGAGACTCGGAGCAGCTGTGGGCATGACCACACCATTAGCCCACCACCCTACCTTCTCACAGTACAAGACCCTTTGGGATCAGACCCCTGCCCACTCCTCCTTCAACCGCGGCCAACACAACCCCATCCCCTTGGCAGATCCAGCCCCAGCCGCACTGATCCTCAGTGTCACAGAGCCTGACAGCTCACCCATCGAACTACACCCGTTTTGCTTCTCCAGCCTTGCCCCCAGTTCCTCCAGGTCCATTCAGCAAATTATCTCCAGGCTCTAACAACCATTCCAATGCTTCTTATTCTGTGAAGCTTTCCTCCTCACGTCTCCTATCCCCACCCCTGCTGCGCCCCATTCTGGTCGCTGCTTCTTTTTTGATTTCTAAACCCTGTCAATTAAACGGAATTACATGGCAGGCTTTCCTGACTGAGGTTGAGTAGATCCTTAACTCTCTCTGGGTCCCACTGCCTCCACTGAGCTCTCAGAAAAGTCTGTTTTGAAGAAAGAAAGGAAGGCAAGAAGAGAGGGGTGGAGGGAGGGGAGAAGAGAGGGAGGGAGAGAGGAAAGGAGGCAGGAGGGAAGGGAGAGAGGGAGGAAGATATGTGAGAATTCACTTTTATCCTCAGATCCGAGCCTGAGAAAAAAATGTGTGGGCTATGAAAACAAGAGGTGTAGCCTGGAGTCTCAAACCTACAACTGACCAACCGTGGACCACGAACAATCCCGTTAACCCCCTTCCTAATTGATTCCTTCTGCTTTTCAAATGTCCATGACCCTCAAGGCAGGAGTTTTGAAACTTAATAAATAGATGCTCATGATCTCGTTCCTCTAGTTCCACCTTCTCTCATTTGGTCTCCACTAGTGTGAAGACAGACTAATGCAAAACATATTTCTTTCCATTTTTACCCTCTGAAATGTAAAACTGAGCGACAGAGAGGGAGGAAAACAAGAGATGCTGAATTCTTTCCACACGGGATACAATAAAGTTAAGTAATACGGCTTTTCATTGTTCTGCAATGGGGCAGGATCAATAGCTTGCTTGGAGACTCCGTGTTGGCCCCTCTCTTTGTCCACGAGGGCAGCGAGACGTGCAGATTCTCAAGGGCAGACTAGTCCATGCCCTACATCAGTCATCCTCTTTCACAAGGCTCCTCCATCAGACCTCATTCTCTTGTACACAATTCATCTCATTAACCGGCTGCAGCTGCAATTAGGAGTGGGAGAGTCCAGGCATGTGTTTGGGTTCGAGATGTGTCTTGTGTGATGCTTCAAACACTTCGGGTTTGGCAAAACCCAAGACACATTCTGTCAAGTTCTCTTCCCCCTTCATTTTTTAAGCCCGAGTGTATTCGAGAGAAATGTGGTCCATCTGATTCTCATTCATTTTTGCCTAACTCAACAGAAAGTTGTGTCGGAAGAGCGAGAAAAAGCCCAAGCGGCAAATCCAGCCTGTTTAATGGAAGTCTTCTTAGAATCTCTGTCTCTTCACCTCCCACGATTTGACATGCTCCAAACAGGCCAAGCGGTTTCATCTGTCTGTGCCTTTACACTTGCTCCCTAAACATGGAAGTCTCTTCCCTTTGACCCCCTCCTCTGCCCACTGACTCCCGCTCCGCAAGCCCAGTGCAAAGATCGTCCCCTCGGTGGAGGCTTTCTCCATCATCCAACTTGCAAATAATTGCACGGTCCTCTGAGCTCCCGCGGTCCTTCACCTGGAGCCCTAACTAGCCCTCAACTCCGTTCTGCTTGTGTTACAGTCGAATGTTAAACCAGGTGAGTCAAGCCCTCACTGACGTCCTCATCCATGTGAAGCCCTTAACCATAATTAAAGGCCTTCGCAAGAAATGGCAGACAAAAACGGGCATTTGCGGTCCTGCTGTTGCCAAAAACATTAATTATTGTGTCTATCGATGTGCCTCTGCGGGCTTCCAGGTGAGAAGAGAGCTTGAGGCTTGAGGACTCAAAATAACAATGGGCTTCTTCCTCTGTGATAATGAGAGCTGTGGAATCCAGCGTGTTCCCTTTTTGTTCTTGGTTGCCAGGAAGCCGAGACGCAGATCTGATGTTCAGTCTTAGCAACTCTATTGCGTGCTGGCTTCCTTTTTTCTCCCGGACTTGGTTTTCTATTTCTATATTACTAACGTACAAAGGAAAAGAAAACGTATCGTTCTCCGTGAGTCACTTCAAAGTCTGTAGAGTGGCCCAGTAAAGGGAAAAGGAAAAATAATAAAGAGCTATGACGATTTCATCTGCAGAACAGATTCAGTATTTAGGAAAAGGTTTTGCTTTTAATCTTTAATCTTAGGGTTTGCATGAAATACTGAATCTTTTACCATGTGGTAAATAATACAAAGTCAATTTTTTAACTTAGAGTTAATCAAATGTAATTGTTAAAAATATAATCGTTTGTAATTCTGACCCCCCCTGCCCCTACCCCGGAACACAGCATATGTCATTCATAGTCTCTGCATCCCCCTTCATATTAGCAGGGCGCTCTGTACATACCTGGCACTCGGCAAGTTATCTATTAAGTGGGTAAGGAACAAAGGCCTTCCAAGTGAATTTAGAAACCAGAGAGAAGGGTTCCAGGCTCCGTTATCTCTAGACCATCCTGGGTTCAGAGCCTAGCTCTGGATGGCCACACAGCCCTGAGACGGACAGTTACTCAGATCCATCTGAACCCCAGTTCCTTCATCTGTAAAATAAGGCTTTAACCACTGTTTCAGGGTTGCTTTGAGGATTAATTCAGAGGCAAGATGCTTAATACTGTAAACTGCCTTCCTTTTACTTACAAGTGCTTATGGGCAGGAAAAAAAACCAAAACACTGTATGTTTTAAACAGGCAACTGACCCAGGGAAGACAAGAGGAGGTACCTGGGCAATTGTCATTAGCTGCATAATACATACTTCTTAGAATCATAGAAATGAGAAAAAGTAAGATGGAAAAGAGAATCCAAGCCCGTAGGTTTCTTCCAAAGGAGGCAGTGGCCCTTACCTGCTGGTCACAGGAATCAGCAGTTTAAACAAGATTCTGCTCAGTCACTTAAATGTAAATATGAGCAATAGAAAAAAGTAAACAAACTTTTGGTTTTTAACATCTCAATTGCCCTAGAGTCGTGGTAGAATGATTTTCATCAAAATGGAATAATACAATCAGCCCCAATGGGCCCTCAGGACGATTTTACATGACATCTGGAGAAGCATTTATTGTTTTAACCATCATGTATTTATTATATGCGTGTTATAAAACCTTGAGCTAGACCATCCAAACTGTGATATTACAATATTGTTATTAAGTTTATTTTAAAGTTTTAAAATGTTTTTTAAAATGAGTGGATTTAGAGGGGAGGGTATATAGCTCAGTGGTAGAATGCGAGCCTAGAATCCACGAGGTCTTGGGCTCAATCCCTAGTACCTCTGTTAAACAAACAAATAAATAAATAAACAAATAAATAAATACATAATTGAATGAATAAACCAACCAACCAACCGATCAACCAAATTACCTGCCCC